GGAATTTTGACCCTGTTGCCCAGGTTGGAGTACGGTGGAGTGATCTCAGCTCACTGCAACTTCTGGATTCAAGTGATTCTCCTGCCGCAGCCTCCCAAGTAGCTGGGATTACAGGTGCACACCACCACGCCTGGCTAATTTTTGTATTTTTAGTAAAAACAGGGTTTCACCATATTGGCCAGGGTGGTCTTGAACTTCTGACTTCAGGTGATCCACCTGCCTTGGCCTCTCGAAGTGCTGGGATTAAAGGCATGAGCCATAGTGGCCGGCTCAATCTAGACTTTCTATACTTCTGCCACCCCAAAAAGCCCCACCCTGGTCCTGTCTGCACTCATTTCCTGCAGACTCCTTGGACTCCCTGCTCCCTCCTGATCCCTGGGGTCCATTCCCCACACACAACCAAAGTAGAGACAGGGTTTTACCGTGTTGGCCAGGCTGGTCTCAAACTCCTGACCTCAAGTGATCCTGCATCAGATCAGACCCGCCCCTGCTCGCAGTTCTCCGTGGCTCTGTCTCAGGCCCACAAGGCCCCAGATGATCTGTCCCTGTCACCCCTCTGTCCTCACCCCCTCTCCCACTCTGCTGCGGCCACACTGGCCTCTGCATTGGGCTCCCCACCCACTTTTGCACTGGGAGTTCCCTCTGCCAGGGACGCTGTTCCCCCAGGGATCTGCATGGCTCCCGTTCTCCCTCCCTCAGGTGCCGCCCTCAGTGCCATCCTCTCTGACCCTCTTATTTAAAACAAGTCCACCCAACTGGAGGTCATCAGTTTCAGGGAAATAAGCCAGGCACAGGAAGACAAACCTCACATGTTCTTGCTCGTTTGTGAAAGCTAAAAATCAAAACAGTTGATCTCACGGACACAGAGGGTGGGAAGTGACCAGAAGTTGGGAAGGGCGGTGGAGGCTGCGGGGGTGGGCGTTTTATGTTCTGGGTTTGTTGTTTTTTGAGACGAGTCTTACTTTGTCTCCTAGGCTGGAATGCAATAGCAAGATATTGGCTCACTGCAACCTCTGCCTTCCCTGTTCAAGCGATTCTCCTGCCTCAGCCTCCTGAGTATCTGGGATTAGAGGCATCTGCCACCACATCTGACTCATTTTTGTATTTTTAGCAGAGACAGGGTTCTGCCATGTTGGTGCTAGGCTGGTTTCGAACTCCTGACCTCAGGTGATCCACCTGCCTCGGCCTCCCAAAGTGCTGGGATTACAGCGTGAGCCACCGCACCCAGCCTTGGTTTTGTTAATAGGTTAAAAAAATTAGCATGAGTAAGAGCTACTATTCGATCGCACAATAAAATGACTATGCTTAATAATAATTGCACATTTGAAATAAAGAGTGTAATTGGATTGTAACTCAAAGGATGAAAGCTTGAGAGGATGGATACCCCATTCTCCATGAGGCGATTATTTCACGTTGCACGCCCGTGTCAAAACACCTCATGTACCCCATAAATACATACACTTACTACGGACCCAACAAAAATTAAAACTTAAGGCCAGGTGCGGTGGCTCACACCTGTAACTTCAGCACTTTGGGAAGCCAGGGTGAAAGGATCACCTGAACTCAGGAGTGTGAGACCAGCCTGGCCAACATGGCAAAAGCCCACCGTCTCTAGCAAAAATACAATTAGCTGGGCATGGTGGTGTACACCTACGATCCAGCTACTCAGGAGGCTGAGGTGGGAAAATCGCTGGAGTCCAGGAAGCTAAGGTTGCAGTGAACCAAGGTCACCCCATTGGACTCCAGCCTGGATGACAGAGAGCCTGTCTAAAAAAAAAATAGTAATAATTAAATTCTTAAAAAAATTAATAATTAATAATAAAATAGTTTTACCCTCCCACACACCTCCCATCCCCCTGCCCTGCTTTATATTCCTTCAAGACACTTAGGACCAGGCACAGTGGCTCACACCAGTAATCCCAGCACTTTGGGAGGCTGAGGCAGGCAGGTCACCTCAGGTCAGGAGTTCAAGACCAGCCTGGCCAACAGGGTGAAAACCTGTCTCTAGTAAAAACACAAAAATTAGCTGGGTGTGGTGGCACATGCCTATAATCCCAGCTACTCGGGAGGCTGAGGCAGGAGAATTGCTTGAACCCGGGAGGTTGCAGTGAGTTGATATCGCACCATGGCACTCCAGCCTGTGTGACAGAGTGAGACTCCATCTCAAAAAAAAAAAAAAAAATTTAGATCTTATGACCCACTATATAGATACATGCTTAATTATTTGTTCCTTGTCTTCCCCAACAGAGCGTGAGTTCCCTGGACCGCAGAGGTTTTTGTTGTTGTTTTTTGCCAGTTCTGTTCCCCGGCTGTTACCCTGATCACTGGTATATAGTAGGTGCTCAATAAACGCGGTTTGCATAGAAGAAGGAAGGAGTGAGAAATAAAGGTAAAATGCTTAGCACAGGGCCTGGTACTGAAGAATGCACAACAATCAGTAGGAATGACAGTGACTTATGTGACTAATAAAGGCTCAGCCCTTGGGAGCTCCCCATGGCTGGGTGTGCAGGAGACTGGCAGGCAGGACTGATGGCAACACCTGCCCCATGTGACCTGCACGGGAAGTTGCGGGTTGCAGAGCCAGAGACCCTGAAGCTGCTGAGAGGCGAAGCTGAGCAAAGTCTTTTTTTTTTTCTTTTTTTTTAAGATGGAATCTTGCTCTGTCGCCAGGCTGGAGTGCAGTGGTGTGATCTCGGCTCACTACAACCTCCACCTCCTGGGTTCAAGTGATTCTCCTGCCTCAGCCTCCCGAGTAGCTGTGACTACAGGTGCACGCTACCACACCCAGCTAATTTTTTTTTGTATTTTTA